GGAAATAAAACACTGAATCTCTGAATCATGCATTGAGTAAACCTCCTTTCGAGTCATTCACTACCCCGACACATAGGCAAGCATCCTACCATCACATCAATACTACGCGATAACCGTTCATAAGCATCATAGCAACTTGTGCATAGCCTCAAGGCTCTCAGAAGTACAGGTACTGAGCTGATACGACAGAATATCCTTCCGCAAGGGGACAACAATAGCCCAAACAGCTACACAGGGAGAAACAACCCGCACCTTATCTGTAGTACCATTAAAATTCTTCGATTCCTGATTGATAACAAGCGCTTCACGTCGCATAGGATTGAATAGTAAGGAAATAAAGGCATAAGCCTCAAAGGAATCAAATCGCACGATGAGGAATCAAGAAGGGGAGTGCTCCTAACAGCCCTGTAGCCTCTCAAAGATAAGTACATACGTCTCCGTACCGATCCGCAAGACTCTACTAGACTCACTCATGACTCGTGAGACCTAAGGGAACCTAGTGCTCTAATATCATGTTTTCACGACCCAAAATCCATTAAGGGTCGTGATGGCACCGGACACCACTGTCAGGCAAGCCAACACCATATAACTAGTAAATTGTCGTTTTAATATTTTCAAAGTCATTTCTTCTAAACATTATGTAATGAACAATAAACTTCACCGAATAAATAATGATGTCTTTACAAAATTTATTTACTGCATAACCCTAAAATCATCCCAGAATCCGGTATCACAAGTGCATGAGAAATTACTAGGAAATCTAATGAAGTACAATAGTTGTCCGAAATACAAACTTGGACAGAGAGTAAATACAATACACTGAAAGAGACTCTGCTGGATGCGGGTCGTCTCGAGAGATGCAGCTCACCTAAGTCTCTGTATCATCCATGCTGCTACACCCATTAGGCCACTAGAGGTACATGTGCATGTGCAACAGAAATGCACAGCAAGTATAGCATGAGTACAAAAACAGCGCGTACCCAGTAAGTATCCCGTCTAACCTCGAAGAAGTAGTGATAAGAGTTCAACTTCGACACTTACTAATAGTCCAATAATATCATTACAGTAAAGAAGTGAATAAGTATGAAACAGGGCAAATATATAAAATAAACATGTATAAAACACATAGTACCATCCCCCTTCTTCATAATTTTACTCAAGTTTTCAGCTAGCAAGTTCCCTCCGTAACCGGAGCATATATGTACAATTATAGTAGTTTCCGTCAAAGAAGTTATCAGGATTCAAATCAGGAAAAATCCCTCAGATACACTGGCTTTTGGCCAAGTGTTACGCACGATTCTATAAGTATAATGCATGCATACACACACACACACATATATATACACACACACACACACACGCACGCACACACGCGCGCACACACACACACACACACACACACACACACACACACACACATATATATATATATATAGGAAATGCCGAGGCGTACGGCCCGATCCAACATAAAAGTAAACTGTGCACTGCCAAAGGGTTGAACGGCGCGAACCATAGATGCATGTATTAACCTGCCGAGGCGATCGGCCCACTCCCATGAGAGTAGTAAAAGGTAGTACCCCGCTCACGAATCATACGTGCGATGCGGTCAAATATAATTTAAGGGACTTCCCCGCTCGCGAATTATACATGTGATGGGGTCAATTATAGATTTCTTAAGTTATTTAGATATTTAGCATTTCTTTCCGAAAATATGAAATTTAATGGAAACTCTTAAAATCTCAAATTCCTCTATTAAAATTTCTTTCAACCCAATTATTACGTAACCTTAAATCTTGTTCCTTCTCAATTCAAACAATAAACATAAATTAACAACAATATCAATCAAGGCATGATGTAGGCCTAAAACTACCCGAACATAGGCATAGCTAGTAACTACGTACGGACTCTCGCCACCTCGTGCGTATGTAGCCCCCCACAAATAGGAGCACATATTTGATTGATTCACCTATGGGGTTAATTCCCTCTTACAAGGTTAGAAAAGAGACTTACCTCGCCCCGAAGTTCCATAACCGGCTTCCAAGCCCTTCCGACGACTCAAATCGATGCACAACGCTCCAAAACTAGCCAATAATTATGCAAACCCATTAATATATGCTCAAACACTCACTATAACCTAGTTTACAACAATTTCTAACCCCAATCGAAAAGTCGATAAAAATCACCCTCGGGCCCACGTGCCCGGATTCCGAAATTTTTCGAAGATAAAGCTTACCCACAACCTCACAAACTCAAATATATAATTTACTCCCAATTTCATGTCCAAAATCATGGTCAAAATCCAAAAATATCAAATTTCTTGGTTTTCCTCAAAATCCCTATTTCTACTAATTTCCATGTTAAAACATATACATAATCGATGTATTTAACTCAAACTAGTATAAACCACTTACCTCATGCTTGGTGGTGAAAATGACACCTCAAAGTTGCTCCAAAATCGGCTCCCATAGAAGAAATGGAGTTAAAATGAGCCAAACCCCGATTTTAAAGAGACCTCACTGTCTCCAGCCTTTTCACACCTACGATCACTTGACCGCTTCTGTGGTTCCGCAGGTGCGGCCTCACTACCGCTTCTGCGGTCTTCCACAAGCTTCCCCTTTTTCGCTTCTGCGCTCCCCCTACCGCAGGTCTGGTCCCGCCTCTGCGGCGTGATGACCGCATCTGCGGTCTGTGCACTTCCAGCCCAAAATCGCATTTGTGGCCCTCATGGCCACTTCTGCAGCTCCGCACCTACGGCCCAAGCCTCGCAGGTGCAGTTACACCAGAAGGCAGCTGCTTCACTTCTTCTTCAATTCCAAAACTGATCCATTAACCATTCGGAATTCACCCGAGGCCCCTGGGACCCCGTCCAATCACACCAACCAATCCCATAACATAACGCAGACCTGCTCCAGGCCTCAAATCACATCAAACAACGCTAAAATCACAAATCACACTCCATTTCAAACTTGATGAACTTTATAACTTCGAACTTCTTCATTCGATGCCGAAACCTATCAAATCACTTCCGATTCACCTCAAATTTTGAACACAAGTCATATTCGATATTACATACCTACTCCAATTTCCGGAATCGAAATCCGACATCGATATCAAAAAGTCCACTTCCAGTCAAACTTCTCAAAAACCTTCAAATTTCTAACTTTAGCCAAATGACTCCAAAATGACCTACGGACCTCCAAATCCACTTCCGATCGCGCTCCCAATACCAGAATCACCATGCGGAGCTATTCCCAAACTCGGAATCCCAAATGAACATCGATAACACTGAAATGCACTTCAACCCAAACTTATGAGATTCTTCCAAAAATGATAACTTCCACAATAGGCGCCGAAACGCTCCCGGGTCATCCAAAACCCGATCCGGACATACTTCCAAGTTCAAAATCAGCATACCAACCTGTTGGAACCTTCAAATCCCAATTCCGAGGCCGTTTACTCAAAAATTCAATCTTAGTCAATTCTTCCCACTTAAAGCTTTCGAAATGAGAATTTTCTCTCCAAATCAACTCCGAACTTCCTAGGATTCTATTTCGAGCACGCGCACAAGTCATAATACCTGAAGTGAAGCTGCTCGTGGCCTCAAACTGCCGAAGGACGCACTAGAGCTCAAAACGACCGGTCGGGTCGTTACAACTTCAAATTAATTTGCAAGTTCTATTTTGATTTTTTTATTTTTGAACTTGCAAATTAAAAGTTTACAACCATTATAAAAAATAAGAAAGAGTGCATCACATGCTTTGCATCATTTTTGTAAGTTCATCCATGTCAACATGAGGTTCTTGATTTCTGGCATTGCTTGAATCGGAACCATAAACCATTATATCTCAATTTCTTGGTCCTCCGTTTCATCTACCTCTTCACGCCCTTGATTTCGCCATTTTGATCTTATCCAATCTATGAAGCACACTGGAATTTTCAAAGCGTTGCGGCCCAATGAATGACGAGTATCTCCTACTTGCTGCCTTGCTTGGCTAAATGCGACTCAAGTGAACTATTAGAAATATGTGTAAAGCTAATAGAAGAACCAACACCACCTCTTGATCTTTTAGGAGTTTTACTCTTACTATTACCACCCCTACTAGTACACGCTTTTTTGGTTGTTCTAAATATATCCATTATGTAAATTACATTAAGAAATTAGATTAATATTTTAAATAATAAAATAAAAATACACCAAAGAAGAGAAAGAGATGGAACGAGTGCACCGGGATTCCAGATGCCGCACTAAATTTGATATCACTTCAGTTGATATTTGATGATACTGAATATTGATACCACACTTCACTTGAATACTTGATATTTGATAATTATAATTTTGTAGTGACTAAAGTAAATATTTGATGTAACTTGAAATAATAAGTAATTGAGAATTTAAGAGCAATAAGCAATATTATCAAGAGAGAATTAGAGTAGTAAGAAAGCAAATTGTGAGAAAAACAAAGAAGAAAGGGGATTATTTATAGTTTTTAAAAGGTTAAAATTGTAATTTATCAATTGTTAGGGTGGGGGAGCTATTTTCTTAAGGGGGTAGGCCGAAATGGCCATTTTTATAAAAAATGGCCGTTGCCCAACGGTCATTTTTGAATTTGACCATTGGCAACTGTCAAAAATCTATTTTAAAAAAAATTCCAGCGGTAACCAGGCTATTCCGGGTTGTATCCCGGATAAAACCCGATAATGGGTAACCGGGCTAACCGGGTTCCGGGGCACCGGTTACCAAAATATGTTCGTTCCCGTCCGGCTTCCTCCTGCCCCCCCCCGCCACCCTCCCCAACCCGTCCCACCCCGAGCATAACGGGATGAACCCGGTTGAACTGGACTGTCATTGGGCTGGCCCGGTCCGATTAACATGTATACTTCAAATACATCTTTTTTTATGGGGGTGAAAAAAAAGAAACGAACAGGGGTATTTATATTTGATTTTGGGGTCAAACTGTAATTCGTAGAAGTTAGGTTCCGGTTTATCCAGGATTAGGATTCGTGTAGGCGGTTAGATAATACGCATTAGAGAATTGACTAAAACAGTCTCTTGGCTGCCAATTGCGATCACATTTTTCCGGACCAGTTCGAACCACTATTACGGGGCTGCCAATTTCCCGTCGGCGAGCTACGGCGATCTCCTTCTCAGCCGAATCAAGCTGTAAGTCTCCTTTCTTTTACTCTCTCTCTCCACCTCTCTCTGTCTGTCTCTATCTACTATCCGGAGAACCCTAATTAAAGTTGTTCCTGTAATTGGTAAAACATATCAGGTATTAATTCGTTCTACTCTTTCTTTTTGTCTACTCTTACTGCATATAGAAATCCTCAACCCGATTTCTTTTTTATTTTTTCAAGTTATTTTTGTTTCGTTATTTGCTTCCGATGTTGTAATTGCTTCAAGGGTCTGGTGGGTAATAATCTGCCCTAGAAGTATTACTTGTAAGTTCTCTGCATATCTTTTCCTATAGAAAAAGCAAAATTAGAGGCCGTAAAAGATGGTATTTCTTCAGTTAGGTTATGTGTTTCAGCACTTTTAGCGAAAGGCATAGATCTAAGTATTTGCCGAATCCTCTCTAATTATTTAAGTTAACAATTTACGATTTCTGATATACTACAACTAACAAGTAAGAATTTGAAATCAATTAATTTTAAATATCCTGTAAATCCAAATTAGTCCATCCACACGGCTCCTTGAGCTGATGTTAGACAACTTGGTAGCTTTTTTTTTTTCGGATGAAGAACTTGGTAGCTGAATTTTTTGTATGATAACATTCTTGAGATAGAGATAGACATAAGATGTTTGTTTTGAGCTTTATGTTCAACCAAATAACAAAAACTGTACCTAAAGGCATTCTCATTTATCCTATTTGGTTCCTGTGATGTGTAGGTATTAGAGGTAAGCAAGAGAGGAATTCTCTGTCTAACAGTCTAAGCCTTATAAATTTTGTAAGACTCAATGGCTTTGAAGTTCTTGAATAAGAAGGGATGGCACACGGGGAGTCTTCGGAACATTGAAAATGTATGGAAAGCAGAGCAGAAGCATGAGGCCGAACAGAAGAAGTTGGAGGAGCTACGTAAGCAGATCCTGGAGGAGCGTGAGCGCAGTGAGTTTCGCCAACTTCAGGAACAAGCTGGCTTGGTTCCCAGGCAAGAGAGGCTGGAATTTCTCTATGATTCTGGGTTAGCTGTTGGCAAGGGAAGTTCCAGTGGATTTGAATCTTTGGCCAAGCCGACCGATCCTGGAACAACTGCTGCTTCCAGTTCTTCTGCGAAGCCGCAAGCATCTGTGCCATCTGCGCCAGGAGCTCTATTTGAGGATAAGCCACAATCTTCCAATGATGCTTGGAGGAAACTCCATTCAGATCCCTTGCTTATGATTCGTCAGCGAGAGCAAGAAGCCCTAGCACGTGTGAAGAACAACCCTGTCCAGATGGCCATGATTCGGAAATCTGTTGAAACGATGAAGAATAAGGATAAGATGCATGACGGGAAAGAGAAGGATGAACGCAGACATAAGCATCGAGACAAGAAATCAAAGCATCACCACTCAAAGTCAAAGCATTTAAGGAATTCTTCACCTAGACAAACCTCTGATCTAGATGAAGACTCGAGCGAAGACGATTCCAGGAGAAAGAAAGTCTCTCACAAGGAGAAGAAGTTTAATGAGCGGAAATCGTCTCTGTTACGAGTTCCTGAAGGAGACGATGATATTGGCAGAGAAAAAACTAAGAGTAGGCATGGTAATCTTGAAGCTGAGAAGTACGAGAGGCAGACAAGGTCTGATTTTGCACCAAGGCATGAATCGCGTCGTAACTCTCGTAGGCCTGTTAGGCTTTCTGAAGAAGAGAGAGCTGCCCGTCTACGGGAGATGCAGAGAGATGCTGAGGTGCATGAGGAGCAAAGATGGAAAAGAATTAAGAAGGCAGAGGAAAAGGACGCTAAGGAAGCTGTTCATGTTGGCTTGTCTGGTGGTAAGAATTTTCTGGACGCTGCTCAAAGAAGTGTTTATGGTGCTGGGAAGGGAGGAAGCTCCACAATTGAAGAAAGTGTTCGTCGCCGAACACATTATTCGCAGAGAGCAGAAGCTTCAGAAGGCAATGCTTTTCGGCGATAGAATGTTGGAGAAAGTTAATTACAGCTCCTGCTGAGTTTTTGTAATGAATCCCTTCATGTAATGCAAATGTATTTCGTTATGATCATGCTCTTTATCTGTTGTCATACTGAAAGATAATTCTGGGATGAAGGTCAGTTTGAATATGTTGGTTTTCGTCTTACCACAAATATTATCCTCTGTTACTGAAATTGTGAGTATTTTCTTCCAAATTTGTTCTTAAAGTTGCCGGGTAATTACTTGAGATGTGAGATAGTTTTGTTCGCTTTTGATCAGATTGATCTTGTATCTTGATATCACTGTTGGTTCATTTGGCTGCAAGGAAGTCTGCACCAACCACTGGCAGAATCAGGATATCTGTCACTGTCTTGACTGTCTTCTTTAGAGATCAATTCCTCATTCATCTGTCAGGAGTAAATAAAACCCAGTTAATTCAATTGTTGCACTAACCTCCTCATGCTGACTTTTTAGCGCCTTTTCCATGAAAGCCTTCAAGGTAACTTACTTATGACATTTGCTTAATTACCTTCACCATTGTCATTCAGCTTCCTATTATCAATTTTTAAAATTTGATGACAATAGCCAGTTCTTCAATTCCATTGCTGTGTTCTGGTTGATTTGAGGTTACTCATTAATTGGTTCGTGCAGTTCAAGGGTTGCAGAGAGGCCTTTACTAGTTGTTCTATTTGAGGGTGCAATCTTTGTGATACCCTGGTTATCTTGATGAGTAGGGTTCTATGTCATTCTTTATTTCTGTCTACTTATCAAGTTTATGTCAGGTAATACTTGATTCATCTGAGAAAATTCAAGTTGCTGACTTTCTTTTTCTCACGTTTATATATCAAGTAATGCTTGATTCATTGAGAACTCAGGTTGCTTAATCAAGCAAGTGGTGTGCATGTGCGGTGCAATTTATAGGTTTTATATGTACATATGGTTTTTGGGAACCCTTTTTTTGCTATGAATCTGTTAGTGCCCTTGATTCTTATTTTGGAAAAATTTCTGTTAGTGCCCTTGATTGGTTTGTTTTCACAATTTCTTTGATGCTTTCCTTTTTTCTTTATAAACAACTATACCTCAATTCCAAGCTGGCAGGGGTCGTCTCTATGAATCCCTTCTATCTACTTCGCTCCATTTGAACTTGTTTTGCGCCAATATTCAAATAATTTAGATTCTAACGTTAGAATGTCCTTTATATTTTCCTCTTAACATACAAATTTAAAATAAAAATACTCCTAGCTAATGTGGGACCTAATATAAGTTTACAAACATTACTAAGCATTAATCCCAATTAATTTTTATCGTCTATATTGACTTTTGTTTTATTGTGTTTTATTTTTCACCAAGTCTGCAAGATTCGAAGAGATTGTAGGTCTTTCGAGATCCTTATCAAAAAAATTATAGGTTTTTCGAGATAACTTTTTTCCATTTGATTATAGGTCCGACTTAGCTCATTTTTTCATATAGTGGGAGAAATGCATTTGTCTGCCAAATTTAGTGAGAAGAACTCAACAAGTTCATGAATCACACATATGTGTGCTAGCATGATTCTTATTTATGGTTATGTCAATTTGTTCATATATATATGAGCATTTGGCCATAAGTATTTGATTTTTCATGGTATGGCACTTCAATTTTGTAACTGTGGGAAATGGTTAATTAGGACCCCACAATTAGTTGTTTTATTTTGATTCTCTTCTCTCTCTCTCTTTTTTTTTTTTTGGGGGGGGGGGGGGGGAGTTTATTGGTCACTCCATGAGTTTAGTGTGATTCATCCCTGCACTACTCAAACTCAAGCAAAGCTTGTGTTTTATATTTCTTTCAGAGGGTTTTGGTTTGCTAGTTTTCTGGTTTACAGTGGTTTAGGGTGCGTTGGTGATTAAGTAGGCTGATCTTTCTTCTGAATTCCTTTGTCATTTGTGATTACGAAATTCCCGGGGTTCTGCACTTGTAAGCACATTGTGTAATCGGGCGTCCATTTGTGTGTGCACATAGATTAAATATAAAGCATATCAAAGTAAGTTACCCTAGTATTCGTTCTCCATTTCATGCTAATGAGGTGGTTGGACGGTTTCTACGATAATTAATATGCCTCAATGTCAACAAGTTGGGGGTAGTTTTATGATTCTTCATGGTCCATATTATGCACAATAAAATGGTTAAAGGATTTCTTAGTGGAAGAAAAATGTGATGATGTTACACCAACTGCGTGGCTCTATTTTATTCAAGTGTTTTGGAGAAATATGTCAGGATATGCAGAAGGGAGTCCTATATGGAGATTAACTGCCAGCGTAAATTCCCAACTGGATTTAATTGCTAAGAAGAGATGCACAGCTCCCTTCCTCATGCTGATTATATTGACTAAAGGGAGAGGAATGAAGGACATACAGGGTTTAAGAGGAAGAATTTTAAGTCTTGTGCCTAGATAAGGTACCTTAATTATCATGGCTGAAATCAGAATTAAAAAAAATTCATGTCTGAATTAGGTGCTTTAGGCCTCATTTGTTTTTTTTAAGATTAAGACGTCTGAATTTGAATACACATCTTAATATCAAGATGTGTATTAAGGTTAAGACATCTGAATCTGAATACACATCTAAATATTAAGATGTGTATTAAGATCTGAATACAAAATGATTAAGACTGTGTAATTTTTAACATTTGAATGTATAAAATTTATCTTTATTTGAAAATTTAAAAACATAAAATTCAAATAAAATACTAATTAATCTAATATTCTATCACTAAAATATATAATTTTTTAAAATATGATAGTTGTTGGTGGTGATAGCTAATGGGTGAATGCCAATTAGAGGCGGTGGTTGGTGGTAGTTTTGGTTGATAGTGGTGGTTCAGAGTAGTAGCTAGTGGTGATTGGTAGTGATGGCGGTTATGATTGAGGATGGTGGTGGTGTGTGGTGATAGTTAATAATGGCGGGTGGTGGTGGTAGTTGTAATTGAGGAAGGTGGTGGTGGGTGGTGGTAGGTTATAATGATGGACATTGCCGGTTGTGGTTGTTGATGGTGATGTGGTGGTTAGTTGTGGTAGTTGAGGTGGATGAATGTTGATTGTGGTTGAGAATGATGGTGGTGGGAGTGGTGGGGATGGTGGGTGGTGATAGTCCATAATGGTGGCGGCTATGATTGAGGATGATGGTAGTGGTGGTGGTGGTTGATTATGGTGGTGATGGTGGCATCATGGTAGTTGATAATGGTAGGTGGTGGCGGCAGTTAATAATGAATATGGGTGATAGCATCTTAATGAAATTAAGTCTTTGTTATTGATCTTAATCATACAGACCTATTCAGACCCATTAGTGGTTGTGAAGAAAAAATAAAGACAAACAAACTTAATGATTAAGATCTGAATAATTAAGATTCAGACTTTATAAACAATCACATTTAATGTCTGAGATCTGAATAATGAAGATGCAGACCTCCATTAAGTGCAAACAAATGAGGCCTTAATTTCTATTAGGTCTCTGTTTGCATATTGATAGGTGAATAGCCAATACACGGTGAGGCATCATAAATTAATTCACTTTAACGTTGTTAATATGTAATGCTTCTGGAACCCTAGACTGTGCAGGCTGTCTCTCCTTAAAACTTAATTTTGAAATAATACTGCATTATTAGTTAAATGCTTATGAAGCTCTTGCCTCTTTTGCTTTGCTGCAACTGATAACATTTTCATGTTAGTTAGAATTGTCCAACTTGCAAACCACTAAGATATAAGCTGTAGTTACTCACTATCACTAAATTTAAGGTTCTTGGAATTGGAACATTAAAGTATGAAGCTTTGCAGCAAGATCACAGGATAAGATGCACCTGTAAGAGGATACGGAAAGGTAGGAAAAAGAAAAGATCACTAGATAAACATATGAATTTTGTTATTGGTAATCTGATACACTGATAGGATCATCTGTGTTTCTTTAGGATAAAAACTAGATGAAGTTAGCGTCCGGTTGATCCTTTTGTGATGGTAATATACTTTTCAAAACGTCTGTTAACGATGTCACATCTTCTGTTTGGGCTTAAAAGTTACTAGTATGTTTTATTGCTGCGGTCAGTTTGTCTTTAGTTTTTCTCTGTACTCCATGTATTCTTATTTCTTTGTCTTCATCATGTTTATTGTTAATGTCTATGTACTTCATTCAGCCATAGAGAAAAAGAGATGTACTTTGCAGGTATTCTTATGTGATATATCATCAGCTTGCGACATAAATTGGAATAACAGTTTGGCGCCTCAATAAAGAGAAGAATTCATTTTCCATTTATGCGTTCCGATGGACTATTGGAAATCACATGCTACTGGTGATTTGGCCAAACATCTTTAGTGCAAGGGATCTGCTTCACTAGTGGTCCAATTGCATGTGTTGGTGGTAGACCTAACCCATCTATTTGTCACTCACCTGAAGCTAGATGGTTAAGGTTAGTGATGATATTAGGGACAGACCAGAACTGGGTTAAACTCGTAAAGACATTATCTTTTATCAGTTTTATGACTTTATCCAGTATATGATTTGGGAGTGAAGTTTCTAAGATTATATGATTTTCTTATAAATAAGTTGGTGGCAGATTACTAACCATTTAGGCAACTGACGGTTATAGTAATTTTTTAATCTGTTGCAGGTTTGGTTATTTTGAGAATTTTTTCTTCACTTGGATTGCCTTGTTTGCCTCTATCTCATGGAGCTTTGTTTAGCTTGAAGCTGTATTATTACAGTAATTGTTTACTTGAAGGAATTACTTTGATTTGTTTCACTCTCGAAATCTTTGTATGGTAATATGAGAAATTTTATCCAAAAATTGTATATGGGTAAGAGCGAATCTTTCTTAATGTTGCTTCTAAACAACTCATTATACATGTTATTCTTTTTCTGTGTCTTATCACTATAGTTCCTCATCCTTAGCACCAGTAATTTTGTCACCCTTATACCTACCCCTATTAGTTAAGGTATCCGGCTATCTTCCCTTCAAGTTTTAGATTGTCTTTTTACCTACAGGTAGCTGGTTATAGCAAAAGGGCTGTTGTTACTGCTTAGCTTGCCATACCTAGTACCAGTGCCTAACAACTTTACCGTCGAAACGATGCCATTTTAGGAGTAATTATAGACGAATGTGATGCCCCAAAAAGTTATTGCATGCTTTTTGCAAAATTGTATTGGAAACAAATTCATCTCCACGAGGCAGGGGTACG